CTTCCAACCACTTTTGGGTGTTTCTAGTGTTTCTTTTGGGTGTGACACGGTGCCCCATCTTCCTGGAACACTGTTGTGTTCTTGTCCACGAAACCCGAGGAATAAAGTGGCAAGAGTCCTTCCTCCAATATTTCGACGTATTTCGCAAAATTTATGTTGCCAACACACTCCACTAAGCTCGATCTCCCACAACCCAAACAGCTCCCCAAACCATCACGCTGAAACCACCATGCTTCACAGTTGGCTGCAATCTGTTGAGCCAAAACTCTTGGTGAGGCATTTTCCAGACTCATATCCTTCCACTGTTCGAAAATTGAGCGAATCTTGATTCGTCTGAGAACAATACGGTCTTCCAAAAGTCCAGAGGCTTGATTATCATATCACTTGCCCACTTCTTTCGTCGGACTATGTTGGCAGGTTTTAATAAGGGCTTCCGTCTGGCTGCTTTGCAACGATAACCCAATTTGTGGAGAATCCGTTGAACAGATTTCGGGCTCATCCCACCAACTTTGGCCACTTCTGCAGTCGTTAATATGGGATCCATTTCGATGCTCCTCTTGACAGCCCCTTTTGTCCTCTCCGATGGACCAGGACGACCCAGACGCTGCTCAGTTGTTTCCTTGCCGTGTTTCCTGAACTGCATGATGATTCTGTTGACTGTCGAAAGCGGGATTCCCAAATTCTGCGAAATTTGCCGCTGACTTATTCCACCATCTGCTTGACCAATTATCCTTCCTCTAACAAAATCTGACAATTCGAGAGAACCTTGAGTTCTAGGCATGTTGTAGCACAATATAATTAGTGTGCAGACCATTTTCATTTATATAGTGCTCTGTGAACACAAATTAGTTAGCATAAATCAGTTAAATGACGAAAAACTAGGTGCCTATTTACTTGTGACCACTCAGTGTATATTCACAGCTTCTTAGGTATTGTAAAATTTGTAGCAATGTACAGTTCTTAATATATAATATTAACATATGAGTATATAAACTGATTTTTAATTGCTTTGATGAGAAAACTAATTAAATATTTTAAATTGTTTTATAATAAATATAAAAAGTATTTACATAATTTTGAAAATAACGATATAAATGAAATTATGATATATACATATAATAAAAATAATTTATTGAAGGGGGAAGTAATTAGAATTACTTACTTGTATAATTTTATATATTATATACTTTCATAACGTAGTTGTATTACCTTCTCTATATAAGACCTGCTATTATGTGGATCTCTTTAGAACTTTTGAAGATCCAGATACTAGTAACATGGAAGGGCGGAGGATGAGAGATATACTAGTAACATGGAAGGGCGAAGGATGGGAGACATACTAGTAACATGGAAGGGCGGAGGATGGGAGATATACTAGTAACATGGAAGGGCGGAGGATGGGAGATATACTAGTAACATGGAAGGGCGGAGGATGGGAGATATAATAGTAATAAAAGTGAATTAAAACCCTATAACCCGAGTGCTTTCGAAAGGTTGACTTTTCTTCTTCAGGCGAAGTTGAGGTTAAACTGGATAGACCCAACGCAATTTGGGTCTTACATCCGCCGCTATCTCAAAAAAACCAGGGCACATTACATAATGCCCACCCTATGATTTGTGTCGCGGTATTTATTTCTATTTTCATATAATTAGATTTAATTATATTTCATCTAGGGTTTGGATATACTGTGTAAAATTCACGCTATCCTTCTTTTTAATGTAGTCTGTTTATAAATTTTTGTAGCTTATTTATATACCCATATATATGTGTGTGTGTTTTAGAAAATGATAATTTCTTGCTAAGCATGAATAGCGGACATGCATAGCTAGCACTGTTTTTTATACTTTTGTTATTCTAAAGACCAGTTTCAAATGAATTATTTTTTTAAGCATGGCGCGTCAAAATAACTACGTTTGGTGATCTGATGGTCAACAAAACAAAATAACATTCGATATTCCTAGATGAAGGTCAATATATTGTAGGATAAATTATCACTAATATCTTCTCTTGCACTTTTAAATTCCGAACCATCAAAAATACAGATGCTCACTTAGCTTTTAATGAAATAAAACGATACATAAACAATTCATTACCCGAATTCTTTAATTTATAATCACTCTTACCTTGCTACAGGCTCAGAAACTAGACATTTTAAAACTCACTAATTTTGTTACTATTAATTGATGTAAACTTACAGGGAATATACAGATTCTGTGATATTTAACAATGATTTCTCTTTCAGTATAAATCAAATTAATAACTTTTTTTTTCCTCTCACAGAACATCATCTTTTAAGAATAGTACTTAGCTGATGAACAAAGTCCATACTGACCCATCCATTTGACAATGTTTCCAAGCATATGTTTCGCCATCTAGTGACGAGTTAAGCACAACCCAGTTCATTTGAAAATAACAAATAACATAGAAATAAATAATTCTTTGGATAATATGTACAGATACTAAACGGAAAATACCACGCAAACCATGATGGGACCGCTTACAGAGACAAAACTAGTAACAGTTGTATATTTAAAGATTTTAAAGTGTATTTCACTGTGAAAAATCACATATCTAGAAGAAAGTAGTGTTTAGATTCCACTGGGAAAATTTTACTTAGTTACGATTCATTTTCTACACATAGAACCGATTTAAACATTCAATTACTCTTTGACATGATACTTACAGGTTAACCTGATTTATTGTTTTTACTATTAATACAATTTTAATATAAAACAGCCTATGTTAGACAATATTATGAAAACACAAATATTTACAGAGCATGCACTTATACAAATGATCCGAAAGTCAGACACCGACATGTGATAAAAACAATGCGAGTCCACACTAAAGCTTTTCTTAGTTTATAATTAAGTAGGAATTTCACATGAAAACATTGAACTTTATTAAATACTGCGAACCTTTCATGCATTTCTTAATCATTCTTTATTAAAATGAGTCTTTGGGTGAAAGTTGTTTATATATTCACTCAACTGTATTAAACGAAGTAAAGTTATAGGTGTAATTCAGTTGATTATTATTCAAAGTGGAAAGTAGCTGTAAGTAAAGTTATAGGTGTAATTCAGTTGCTTATTACTCAAAGTGGAAAGTAGCTGTAAGTAAAGTTATAGGTGTAATTTAGTTGATTATTATTCAAAGCGGAAAGTAGATGTAAGTAAAGTGTATTCATTTTTAAGGTTCTCTTGTAGAGATTGAGTAGTGCATCTGACATGATGTGGAAAAATGGCATAAAATGTATATTAAATTTTCAACTTCAAGCGTGCATTCATACGAAGGCCTTTTTTATTATAGTAAGTATGTGTGTTAGAATATAGAATTTTCTTTCCAGTGAATCGTTTTACTTAGACAGAGAGAAAATCACTTGCATTGTTAAAAGGAGTAAAAAAGAGACCGTAATCATAGATGGATGGACACTATCCACTCCATCTTTGTTACAGCCATCGTCTTTACAGCAGTGCACACAAATGTATTCTGATCTGCTTCGGTCGCAATGGTCAAGCCCAAGTCCAGTGCTCTGTTTAGGGTCACGAAGATTGCATGGGCCTAATGCACAAGTTTTCGTAATGGTAAAACTGGACTCTGCAAAAGAGAATGACAAAATATTGTTAACTAAATATCGTGACGACATCTGTTTTCAAAAATACAAAGAGCTCAGCAACTTATATAAATGATATAAAATTTGTTTCGCGGCTAGAATATAAATTAAACGAAGTAAACTACATGCTGAAAAAAATAAAACACAATTTTTATATATTTTTCAAGGTGCAAATTAACATTATGAATTTTTTAAGGTTTAACGTTACATGATAGACATTTAGTAATGTATATATTTTAATAGAAGACGTTCTAAGAAAATCTAAACGGACTAAGAGAATTTTTTCAACAAAAACACATTACTGATCGATTTACTAATGAGAATTGTACATACGAATTGCTTTTTTTGTGATGATGATAAGACAACTCCGTGTTCTTTATGGCTTATATTGACTCAAGTTTTGAGAGAAATGTAAAAAGAGAATAACTTAAATTAATAAAATTTATTACCTTGGTCCTAGTTTTTGCACTTTTTTCGGTTAAATATTCAAATCGTAAGAATTTCATCATAATTATCTACAGTCTGTTGTTGATTACAATTCTTAAGTAATAAAAACCTTGGAAACATTTTTCATTTTTAATTCTGCTTTATGAAAATTATTTTTAGATAATCATTAATCTCATAGTTTGTTTCAAATATAAAAAAAGAAATTTCAGTGTACTCTGCAATAGATACTATATACTTAAAACGAGCGGTTTATTTTCATTCTATTTTTCGATCATCTAAATATCACACTTACCAGTTTTTTCAATTGTTGTCATGCACGTGTCATATGCTTGGTCGTCAGGACAAGGTAAAAGAGAGTCGTTTGTACACAAACTGTTAGCTTCTACTTTACATTGGTAACACTTCAGCTTACTAGGGACATTAGTCCCTGCTACATTAAAGATAAAATTCACTGTTAAATCATTATAACTTTTAAAACTGTTACTATTATGTTATAAAATTAACTGTTACTAATATGTTATCAAACTAACCGTTATTATTACATTTTCAAAATTGATTTTTACTATTATTGTGCTGTCAGAACTAACTGTCACTATTATATTGAAAACTAACTGTTACTGTAATGTTATCAAATTGACTGTTAGATTATGTCATCAAAAGTGACGATTGCTGTTATTGTGTTATTATATCTGATTGTTAGATTTATGTCATCGAAAGTGACTGTTACTGTTATTGTGTTATCAAATCTGATTGTTAGATTATGTCATCAAAAGTGAAAATTGCTGTTATTGTATTACCAAATCTGATTGTTAGATTTATGTCATCAAAAATGACTATTATTGTTATTCTGTTATTATATCTAATTGTTAGATTTATGTCATCGAAAGTGACTATATTGTTATTGTGTTATCAAATCTGATTGTTAGATTATGTCATCAAAAGTGAAAATTGCTGTTATTGTATTATCAAATCTGATTGTTAGATTTATGTCATGAAAAATGACTATTATTGTTATTGTGTTATTATATCTAATTGTTAGATTTATGTCATCGAAAGTGACTATTATTGTTATTGTGTTATCCAATCTGATTGTTAGATTATGTCATCAAAAGTGAAAATTGCTGTTATTGTATTATCAAATCAGATTGTTAGATTTATGCCATCGAAAGTGACTACTACTGTTATTGTGTTATCGTTAGATTTATGTTATCATGACAGTTTGTTTTGAGAAATAACATGATGTCACTACCTTATATAATGAAGTTTAAATTATTGTTTACGGTACATAATTTATTTCCTGATTAGATAACTTCTACATCATAAATAATAGTTAATGGGTTTTGTTTCACACGAAATATATTATTTTAAATATTGCCATTAAATACACGCTAAAAAATCTAAACCTGAAAATGATTCGAGATTATTTAGAAAAAATTATTTTATGATTACACCTCTGTAGTTGAGGAACTCAACAATACAGGAGCAAGGCTGAGCACAAGGAGGTGTTTAAGAATACCGAATATATGCTTGAATTACTTCTACATGGCAGCATGTATGCACAAACTATGGTTTGATAATTAGTTTCGAAGTTCGTATTTCCATCTTCTTTGTATGTACAGATCTAACTCCAGATAGAAGTGCACAAATAACGAGAAAACTGCTAAGTTGATGAAAGCGTTATTATTTACACAGAAGTTTGGACCACAATAGAAATAAATGTACCGCGAATAGCAAATTATCGATCTCATACTTCCGACTAAGACGTATTCGAGCATTGTAAACGTATGTTATAGAAGGACAGCTATTTCTTGCATAAACTAGCTATTATGTTAAAAAATTCGGAATCATTACATCCAAAGCAGTTTAGTAATTATGCTGAATACACGGGGACATTGTAATGTACTTTATATATGCAAAGTACACATGTAATGTACTCTGTGCAAAGTACACTGGAATATCTGAATGTAACTTTAGATAAAGTACAAGGGGACATCTTGATATATTTTACATAAAGTACACTGGGGAATCTTAATGCACTTTATGTATAGAACCACAATATTTTAACTTAATTTCATTTTGGTTCTTGAAATTTGCTATAACGATAATTGATATGAAATTCATTTAATTTTCAGATTTGAACTTTCGAATCTATTATTTATTTTACTAAATACGGTTATGTAAAACAACTTAAAAAGTGAGATACGTTGCAGAAAAGATTTCTGTGGTTAAATAAAGTTTGAGGTATTTTAAGGAATTTAATTATTTTGTCAATTTTCCCCTTTTTCTATCGTTCTGTCTATCCAATTAAAATATAAAAGTGATAAATATCGTAATAAATAAATATCTCGAAACATCTTTAAAGCATACGTATTAATTGTATGATACCTTTAAACCATAACTGTTAATTATATGGTTTCGTTAACCACAGATCTTTAAACCACGATACTTTTCAGCCATAACTGTTAATCATATGGTTTCTTTAACCCATATTTGTTAACCATAAAATACCTTTAAACCACAACTACTAACTATATCTCGAAACCATATGTGTTAACAATATCTTGATAATAGAGTTAGCACAAAGGATCACATATAAAGTGTATTGAACTTAAAATAAGACCCAAAACTGGAGCGCTTTCGAATAGTTGACTATTCTTCTTCAGGAGAACAAAGAAAAATTGTCAAATATTCGAAAGCGCTTGAGTTTTGGGTCATATGTTGAATGTGTTAACAATATTATATCTTTCAACCATAGCTGTTAACCTATGATATCTTGAAACCATAATTGTTAGTTGTACGATACCTTTAAATCATAAATGTTAGCCATATATCTTTAATTCATATCTGTTAATCATATGATATATTTAAACCTTTTTCTTTGATCATCATTTCATACACCAGCTGCGATGACACGTTTATTGAGTGATGTCTTTGCTAATGTAAACGAAATTAAAATGTGCAAGTTAAAAAAACGTATAGATCATTAAAGATCAGATTCTGAAGTAGTTATAATGGCTTAATGGAAAAGCTCATGTATGTCAATATGATAATCGCACGACTTTATTTGTAAAATGCACACAATAAACAAATTCAATTACGAATCAACAAGTTATTTGCACAATGTTTGAAATAATTATGCGGCCACATGTAAAGTGCATGTAACTAATTACTTTAACACTACATTACTTTGTCCAGTGTATACACATGTATGAATAATTAATTTATCATTGTGTATAATTAAAACATACAGGTCTTGTTGCATATATATTTCTAAAAAGTTATACAGATTTTATGTGAATTTTAACATGTAAAGAAAATAGAGCTTAAAAACAGCATCTATTACCTTATATTATATTCAAAACAACTTATCAGACAACAAGGTCAAAATCAAAACTATTTTAGGTCAGTTTACAAACGACGTCGTAAGAAGGGTAAAAATACCTTAGTAAGGAAGATGTCTGAGAAAGGACCCTTACAGCGGTAGGAATACACTGTCTATTAGATGCTATTAGTAATCATCATGCTGTAACGGTCTAAGGTAACTCGCTGCTACAACCAGGATTGAATGACAACAAAAAACAAATTTATTATACTGAACTTTGAAACCACAGAAATCTAAAGCGTAACTTTCAAACAATTGAAATACAAAGTTGATAACTTACCAAAACACAGTAAAGAAATATGAGCCTGTCCAGGATTTGAAACCAACGTTAATGAAAAATACAATATATAAATCTAGATTAAAAAATATTTCAATCAATCGATCAATAAATAAATAAATAAAGGAATCAGGGAAAAAATAACCAAACAAATAAAAACAGCTAATTCCAAAATAACAATATTCCGTATCTAAACCACAAAATCGCTAATAACAATAATATTGCTCAGCTACATCTCGTGAACTACCCTGTTACATCTCAATGTATGGTTTTATTCACTTGTTATATCACGAGATCACAAATAATATGATCGTAATTTATATAATCCTGTGCAAAATATCTGTACATAATTTACATACTCTTGTGCAACATTAATGATATTGGTGCGTCACCGCTATCGAAAACTGATGACAGTCTCATAATACATGCAAAATACACAAAGTAAACGTGATCATCTAGAAGTTGAGTTAGCGTTTTAACTCTAACGAAAATTTCATAGATAAACTAAACGATAGAAGGAATAATAAATGAATGATAAATAAAACCAAAACCAAATAAAAACAGAATTCGCTATCTCACAACACATAGAAGAAAAATTAAAAATTTCCGATATTGGTGCTCAGGCCTACAATGTATCACATATAAAACTGCCATCTGCAGCCAGTTCTAGATATTAGTTGCTCTAGATAAAAATGGATCACAAAATTTTTTAAAATAAGCACAACTACTGGACCACTGGGAGTTGTAGTAATAAATAAAAGGTTTCTACCGAAGTTGGCATTCAAGCCCCATAATGGCCGCATACCTGTGTGAATAGTATAATAAAACCTAAAATAGTAGGCTAAAAACTTCTATTAAACATGTGAAAAATGGAATTCTCCCTTCTAAACTAAAAAAAAAAAAGGAACAGCATTAAACTCATTCAGCAATCTATCCTGAACACTATACTATTAAACTGCACGCTTGGTTAGATGAATGATCCCAACGCCCATGTATTCTAGCTAACACACGTATGCGAGAAATATAATATTGAGACGTGGTTCACGAGAGAACATGTGTGGTAATTGAAGTAACCTATGCTTCGTCGTTATTATATATGACAGATACAGTGCAGCTGCACTTTTATTAGAAAGTTTTGTTTGCTTTCACTCATAAGTTCTTAGAATTCACGAGAAAAAATATTTCTTTTTTATAAACTATTTGTAAAAGTTTTATATAAAGCCTCTCTAATATTATTATTCCTTAATTTGAAGGTATTTTACTATTACAAATTTTAGAAAGCTTAAATATATATTATTAAAAACCCAACTTATAACTACAAGGTTATGAACGCATGCCCTGTCTATTTGTTCAGAACTTTCGCGGAAAGCTTTCAGTAAGAGCTCTTTACGTCTGCGCATAGTCGTCTCTAATTTCGAACTGATAGTTTAGCTATTACTCTTGTTTGTCTGAATAATGGGATTTTACCATCATTCTTGCAGCAGAACCGCAGTCCGAAAGTGCGATAATGGGATGTGAACCATGTACTCTCGGAATCACAATTTGGGCATGCATAGTCTTAGACTTCATCCACGAAGTTGGTTTTTCCTTAATTACCTACTAAGTTAGCTCGATATTATGCAGTATCATCCAATGAACCTCCCATAAAAATCTAACAACCTGCTTGCTTTTTTTTCAAATTTACTATCAAGTTATAGATATGTAGTGCTAATACTTCAGGTATCCATCATTAGGGTTGTACTTTTCAGGGTTTCCTACAATTGCCATATTA